CACGCCAACAGCTCAGGCAAAGACCGGGCCGCCCCTTGGGCCCAAAGTCACCGGAGCTGGCCACTGCGTTGAGGTGGATCGTGTCTTCAGAAGGGCCTTGATTTGCTTGGGAATCGGTCTGGCCACTGGCTTAGCCTCTGAGATGTTGCCAGGGCTTGCACCTCCCTTCGGTGCTGACTTGACCAGTCCACCACCTGGCTTCTGCAAGTTGTGCAAAGTACTCACTTTTTCATGGCTTTGTGAGTTGCTCACCTTCCGTTGCTGGACCTTGCGCAATGTAGGCAGTGCAGTAGCAAACCATATATAAGACCACCGTTGACAGTCTCAAGATCTCAGCTCACCACCTTTTCCTCCTTTGATTGTAAACTTGATGGGAGGGCCTGGATCAATCTGGATCCACAGACTGCATAATTACTTGTATTCGAGCGAACCCTGAGCATCCTGCAAGACGTCGGTGCCGTGCTGCCTATCATCCAAAAGCAGACCGCGTCATCTTCAGAGAGAGAGAGAGAGAGAGAGATGGAGACTCCGTCAAGGGTCAATGGGCGCGGCATGGCACAGCACCCTGCCTTGCCGAATTTCGCCAAGCTCCTGCGCCTGCGTGCAACCAAGGATTCCCAACTCATGTCGAAAGCTGCTCTGTTGATGTTGCGCCACACTCCTTGCCACTATGCATGGCTCTCTTTCCCTTGGCTGTGAGCTCTGGGCTTCTTTGACGAATATCGTCTGGGAGCAGTAGCTAGCTGATCAAGCACGTGTCTTTGACAAGCCGGATACCAAACCTCTTGCATGTTAGATGAACTCCATGTCTATCCATCCGAACCCGCCGTAAACTGGACATTCTCATGTCTCACCCAAACATGTCAAAGCCGTCATCAACAGGCTTGCTCACTTTCTCAGTTTCCGCGTCTTTCCTGCGGAGCAGACAAGATGTCTGGCTGCTACCTACTCGATATCTCCCACTTTGGCGGAAGACAGATGCTGAGATTCCAACTTGTCGGCCCTCTTGGCTAGGAGGCGCTGCAGCGGCTTTTCCTGGGACCAAATCCCATGCGAATGCGTGCTGTTATAGTGCTTTTGGGACGGATGGCCTGCCACCAGCACTGCACCGCCTCGGAAACACTCAGCTTCCCGGATCATAAACTAGCCTTTATGCTCAGACCCAGGCCATGCAAGCCAGGGAATCGCGGTCTGGGCCTTGGGCCTGCGCCGTGCGCACCACAGCCTGCAACGAATAACAGCACTTTCATCCGCCAGTGCCGTTGATGAACATCGCCCCCTGAACTCAGTTTCTTCAATCTGCTCCTTGCCCAGAATCATTGATATCATGTCTGTTAGCCTTGCCATGAATCTAGAATGGCATCGAAGCGTAAGCCCTAAACACGATACTTATGCCTTGCCTTCGTAATGTCCGGTTGCATTACACTTGGCAGCTCCTACACTACCTGCCTACCTGAGTGAGTGAGTGAGTGTCATGATACACCTCTTGGATGTTGCAAGCTGCCAGCTACAGTGACAACTATGTTTGCCGTGAGCTTGGCGTGTGCAGGCAGGGCTCATTTCAGCCAATGCTCGGTTCGGCAGACAACTTGGGGGGCCTGAGGCCTGCGATACATTCCGCCGAACCTGACTTCCCTTGCCTTCTTACTGTACCTCCTCTGCGCATTGCCATTTGGGTTCGCGTCTCTTCTTGCTTCTCATTTTCACCATGGCCCTCGTTTGTTTTTCACCTAAACGCTTGGCGCTTGCCTGGGGAGCAAGAAGGCGCCGCCAAACGGCCCAAAACGGAACGCATCAGGCAAGGAGCCTTGCTGGCTGCCTCCCAGCCATCAAGCCCTTGTGCCGGGCTTCCCCAGGCCTGGGAACAGTCTTGTTCATGTCGCACAGCCGAAGTATGATCCCACTCTGCCATGTCCGATCACTGGCCCCAAAGTCTCTGGCATCTAAGGCAACGTTCATGACATCCTGGTCTTTGAGAACGGACGCCACCTGTATTTGCAGCAGGGGCGTTCTGATTCTTGAGCAATCCTGCATGGCATTACAATCCTTGAAACTGACATCTGGACTTCTGGACAAGCCTCTGCAGAAAAGACAACCAGGAAGGGCTCTTCCCCGGCGACGCAGCGCCACCTGTGCTTAGGAAAGTCCCTGACGCTGAGCTGGCGCCAAAGTGCCACACTGCCAGCCCCGAGTGCCGCACTCGCGCACCTTTTTGACCTAAATAGTGGAGAATCGAATCGAAAAGAAAATTGGAAACTGGGCTTATATAGGGGCTTATAGGGATAATAACCCCTCAGCCCATGGCTTCGTGGGACCCGCAAAAACACAATCGAACAAGGGCCGAACTGCCGGCTGGCCCACCACTGGAGACCTTGTGGTCTTGAATGGCCTGCCAGTTGCAAACACAGCAGCCGCTGTGGCTACAAGTAGCATTCAGTAGCAGGCCTGCCACCTACCAGTCTAGCCGCTGGCATCCTGAAGATCTGGCTCGGTCTTGACTGACCAACCTCCACCACAGTGTGTAAGCCGCTAAATGACCATAAGTCACTTGCCCACCTCTGCGAAGGAAACATCCACTTTTCCCGAGTCGGTGACATTGAAGCCCACCTGAAAGAGCAAACATGATAGCAAGAGCCTTCATTCTTGGAATGTCAGAAGCGTCTGCACAAGCAGCGCATGACGAAAGGTAACAAAAGGTCACCCTGCTGGTGCCCATGGAGGCATGCACAGCTCTTCTTGCCTCCTTGAGAGCAGCGCTTGCCTCCAGCACAGGACCGAATTACAACAAACCCCTCTACCGGCAGCTTTACACCAGCAAATATTGGTTTATTTGCTACATTCTGCTACATCATCCAAAGCCAGCCCCAAAGTTTGTGCTAATAGCTGATCAGGTGAGGCAGTTGACAAACTGACTGCAGCATTTACTAAAGGATCCTGCCTTCTGCGTGGTGAATGGCTCCATGACCCGCACGGGCGCGCCTTCTATTGACTCACATTCTGTTTATCGTTTGCCAAGAGAGAGGCTCTATCAGACTAGACCGGAGTGTCTGCAGCACGGACACTCATTTCGTGGAACGTCATGAATCTACACGGCAAAGGATCTGAAATCTAAACATGCACCTGGCCCTCATGTTCCCAGAATCTCGCCTTCGTGGCTGCACAGGGCCACAACAGAAGCGCCGCAGTTTGCAATCCACAGCTGCACCTGGGTCAAATGCAATTTGGCATCTCCCGTCCTCCCCTTAATCTCGCTTCCACTACGTCACTGAGGACTGAACGCAAGGCTGACCAGATGCGTTGAGAGCATGGACAAAAAGAGCTGCGGTGACCTGCACGCTGGCACGCTAGCATGGCTGTGCAACGAAGAGTCGCTTGACAGCAGAGAGTAGAAAAATGCGAATTAACTTGGGATAGCTTGGGGGCTGTCAGCGTTGGTGATGATGGCAAAGAAGCATCAGCATCAGGCCTCAGCCCCGTCAGTGAGGCTTTTCATCTTCGCCCGCTCCATGAACTCCGTCTCCAGCATCTTGCCACGCACGGTACACGAATCAAAGGCAGCTTGATCTTTCAGCAGGGGAGAGGGGGTTTATGCGAATGGCTTGAACCAGCCATCTGATTAGAGTGGACAACTGGGACTAATCCCGAAAAGCTCAACGCTTCAGCGCTGCATCATGCGCGTATGAGCTCATTCAATAGGATGACCTTCTCAAGCTGTCTGTTTTTGTTGTGGGACCTTCAAAATGTCCTTCATGGACTCAGAGACCCTATGGCAACTGCCGATAAGTGTTCAGCAAATTTCCGACCTAGTCAACCCTAAACTTATCTGTGCACCTCGAAGGCCGACTTCAGAGCTTCCTCAGCATCTGGCTTTTCCTAGCAGCAGGGAGGTGATCTACTTCCAGAAGTGAGATGCGGAGAAAACGGGCTGAGTTCAGGACCTCATAAGCCTTGGCAATGAATTTCGGCAGCTTCTCCTTTGCAAACCTGGCATGCAGAACCGCCGTGCCCGAAAGCACTCACGGATCATAGCTAAGAATTAGGGAGGGCCAAGCTAGCTGCGCCATGCTGCGCCAATGAATTGAGGCCAAGATGCGTGGCACATTCGTTGCCTGAGTCCACGAGTCCAAGTCTAATTCGAGCTCATCACGAGCAAGGATGCACATGAATTTGGCTCTCCACCCTTTCCAACCGTTGCCGTGCACCCGTGAGCCATGACGAAAACCTGCTTTTGCTACCCTCTGCACCAAAGCCCGCGATTTGATATGGCAACGCTCAAAGCCTTGCCCAGCTGGGGAACAGTCTCGCCAAGGACGAAAGCATCCTGTGCTCGAGGCATCGAAAAAAATCTGCGCCTTCAGACCTGCCGAAGTCCTGATTTGCCACAGTTGCTGGCAATGACTCGCCGTAGCCCTTCACAGCATACCTCAAGGTGCTACTTGGTTCCTTATTTGGTGACGTCCTCCAATTCCAACGGAGCTTGGCTTACAGCCAAAGACTGGACATCTGATGCCCTCAATCCAAAGAAAAAAACGTGCAAGGGGTCACTGTGGTATCTCAAAGAAGTTTCGCCACTGCTCCTCACACGGATTGCTTCAGGTGGATGCAGGGTTTGCAGCTGCTTTGCAGAGCTTTGCAATGGTAAGTTCAGTGAATTGCAAGGGTGCTTTCTCAGACAATTCGGTTCATGCAGCCTATCACCATGAAGAGAAGAAGCGTAAGTAGCTGCTAGCCACTACGAGTAGCCGCTCCTTGAGCTGCTGTCGACGCTTTTTGGCCATGGTGGACGAGTTCTGGCAGGAGAGCAGCGCACAACGTTCGGCCCAAGGTAACGTGCAAAACCAAGGCTAGCATCAGGACAAACGAGCCACAGGCTCCGGTACTTTCAGTTAGAAAGCCTTTTCAGCGGAAGCAGCTTACTGCTTGTGCGCAGAATGGGTCCAGCGAAGGTGGTCTTATACGACAGCTGCTCTACAGCGGTCAACCTCGAAAACCATGTTTCATCATGGTTGCGGTTGGAGAACAAACCCATCGTTCATCGGAATCCTGCCCACTTTATGGGAAAGGACGGAAAGTGACACACCTGCTGCAGGGCACCGCGCAGGGCCCTGTATTCAGTACCGCGCAGATCGCTCCATGCTGGTGTGGAAAATGAATATTGTACTTTACGGTTGAGCAAGGGCTGCAATCTGCAGCAGTGGCATGGTTCGAACTTGCTGCTCCGTACATGCCAGAAGAAGTACTGTTGCCAAAGCTGCAGTCTCTAAACAGCGCCTGTGCACGACAAGATAAACCCTGCACAAAAACACAAAAATGGTTGCCTCCCCGTGCCGGGGAGGCAACTGCTAAGCTTTCATCATAGCGGCCCCAACTCTTGACAGCTGGCCTGTTGGCTTCTTACCTTAGACTTGTCAGATGCAAAAGCCTGTGAAAGCAGATGTGTAAGGCATTCGCTGTCAGAGGCCCACGCGGAGTGCTGGGGCGAAAGAATAAATTATGGCTTTACATATGACACTGGATGGCTCTCTCTAACACAATTACACCTTCTCATCTTCTTGTACGAAGAAGCAACCAGGATCAGGCTCGTGCTTCTGAGCACCTGGTTCAGTTCATCTTAAGAATCCAAACGAGTCTGAGACCATGGCGACTACCATGCATTTCTACTTGGATCTACATTGTAGGTGAACTTGGCCCTGCCTGCCGGTTTCCAAGCAGGCAATCCCTTGCGCTGCTCATCGTGGAACATAGACGTGCCTGGCACGGGATGCTATTGTGTCGGTGTCTCAAGCCCACGTCCCCGCAAGAAATGGTCACTCCAAGGATTTAACCCTGTCCATTTGCTTGTGCATTTTTTCGAGCTCATATCCTCAAGAAGCAAGAGAATTTGCTACGTGAAGCCCGGTCTGCTCTAAGCCGTCACAATCTGCAGCTTTTTAATGAGACACTGCGAGCATGTGCCTCGTTCACTGACGGCGTAGGCACGTTCTGGAGCCATGATTCTCTCCTGCAAAGAATCACAAGGGCCTAAAGTAAAGCTCTTTAGCCTTGACAGATCTTGACTGTGAACAGGCGCCTGGTCCCACAATGCCAGGTCTTGCTGAGGGAGGAACCGCGGCTCACGGCAGAAGCATCGGCTGCGGGCCGCCCCTGATACAGAATACCAAGACTCTGGCAAGCACAAATCCCCTCCTTTGTTGCCCTAGTCCTTTGACCTCCTTGCAGTGCTGTATATGATGGTCTCACAACAGTTCACAACCGTAGCCACAACCAGACTTGGGCGACTTGGCTTCGCTGAATCCCAATAGTTTCCTAGCGTGGGCTCCTGTAGTTTTACTTTGTCTGCAATGTGTGTGTGTGTGTTTTTCAGTTGCCGAGGCATCGGCCTTGGTCGCCAGTTTTATACACGTGCTGCACGGATAATTGCTTTTGACTGCCTGGTTGGCCTGGCCTGCCAGAAAAGGCCGCCGCCCATCCAACTGCAGATTGTACCGCACCGTGCTGCCACCGTCCACGGCCGCATGAAAGCCTGAGCCACGCTCGTTGCAGGGCGATGGTAGCTGATGATGGAAGATGCTTACCTGTCAGGGGGTACCAGCGCAATCCGCGCGCAAACTGCAGGCAAGCCAACTCATGCCACCTTGTCCTTGTCCTGCGCCGACCGTTTCTTCATGAGGGGCACGTATGGCTCCACGAAGTCACAGGCACGTCCACGCAATGCCTTGCAAGCACGTTCAGCTTCCTAGCGCCATGAGGCTGAGAGGGATGGAGCCACGCTTTGGTAAGTTCATTCCAAGATTCCGCTCTGGCATTCTCGCCGCACATCTCAATCATTTCTGCGTCCCACATCTTTGGACTGCCTATGGCAAAGCAATTCACCGCGAGCAAAAGTGCATCACTTTGGAGTCAACCATGCTGGTGATATCATTGATCACATCTCCTTAATTCGCCGAGGTCACGCTCTTCATCTGGAGAACCCTGGGCCACCTTCAACAAAGTGGTTGCATCCCAGTCCTTGAGCAAAGTCGGGTACTGGTAGAAATGTCCCGGTTGTAACGCACAAAAACCAGTTGCGCAGCTTGCTGCAGCTGGAATGCTCGCTGTGGTGGAGCCCAGGGGGCAGGCAACACTCGCCCTCCCAATGTCAGGGCTACAACAGGGAAATTCCACATGCAGCACAAGAATGCCTTTGGGATCTTTGGTCCCGTTGTCGAGCTGCCACCTCTGGCTGCGTACGGAGACAAGTCCAAAAAAGGTCACGCCAGCGTTCGCGAGCCCTGGGCGAAAACACTATCTGCTGTGGACTCGGTGTTTGTTGCCGTTTGCCGCGGCCCATGCCGGCCGGTGTTTGAACATTTTGCAATTACGGGTGTTTGTGGGCGACTTGCTGTTTTTTTTGGCACAAGGATTCAAGAGGTTTGCATTTTGTCCAAGGATGGCCAGTGCTTTGAACATGATGAGCGTGACACCATTCTTACGCAAAAGTTTTGAGTGCAAAAGTGTTCAAGCATTCTCAAACACGAGTCTCTTGATTTGCTGGTTCTGTTCATGTCAGCACCGCGGCGGTTTGTGCCACCAGATGCCACTAGAGAATCTTTGATTTGTATGCAGATTGCATACTTTAATCAGCACCAGAATTGCACTTGCTGACCCTGCAATGTTTATCATTGTTGCCAGTGCGTGTGTTTTTGGCTGATGTATGCAGTTGTTCAATTGTTCTTTGTTTAATCCCATGCTGGCTGGTGTGCTCAGCACGGCACGAGTTTAACAGCCCGCTCAAACACAAGTCGGCTATTAAGTTGCTGACTCTGTCATTAGCGTCGATGTTTTTATTGCAGTGGCTTCTGCGGCAGCATGTCACGTGTATGATCTACCGCCGACAGGCAGCAATTGTTGGAGCAGTTTGCCATCCACGGCCGGGAAGAAGCTTATTTGCATGCAAATGAGCACTGGACAAAATGACTTCTTGAGTTGTGTGAAAATGGACAAAGGAAGCGAGAAGAGCTAGCCTGATCATCGTTTCTCGTGACTTGGGACGCGCTCCGTCCAATGCAGCCACCTCGCCAGCCCAAAGCAATCCAACGCATATCTTTGAAATTCGGCTGCATCTTCTAGATCGAGGCAGATCACAGAGATGCTGAGCCTCGGCAACAATTGCCTTTTCGCGAGCTTCCTGTCTTTTGCGCACGGCCGCCTCAGCTTGGACTGTCTGGTTGGGGTGCGCTTGACCAATGCATTGGAACACCCTCTGTGTTTGAACATTTCCAAATGAAACGCTTCGTTTAGGAACAGCTAGGCTGCACCAAGAAGGCTAACTCCAACTATGATTGCTGCCTGCTTCCAAGCAACTTCATTCTTCCTAGGCAAGCCGCTCCACGTCCCAGTGTGAAGCGCAAACATTATCTCATGGCCAGACGCAGAGCGAGGTCCATGAGCAATTCAGGTCTACACGAGGGAAGCGGCTACCCCAGTGCTATCACGCCATGTTTGTGTGTGTGTGCGTGTGTCAAGTGATACAGTTCATGTGTCACAGTAGGACAGCTCAAGTTGAACGATCTTGAAAGCAAGGCATGTGCCCCCTTCAGCGTGCTAATTTTGGCACTATCTTGTACACAAGCTGCAGCAGCTGTGTGAACACACATAAGTCAGGCAAATGCGCAGCAGCACTATAGCAGAACTCCCCAAAAGGCCTCTTCAGGCTTCTCCTGAGCTATAGGAGACCCATCGGGATTTCGCACATCCTGGCAACAAGTCCCGAATATAGAACATAGGTTGTTCCAAAACTTCACTTGACACCTCACACCAAGGCTTGCCGCGATTCTCTCCACGCAGGAAAGATACCTGAACGAGAAGATGTTCCTTTGTTTAGCGCAGGTGGACGCTTTCCATGGTTTACATATGTTTACATTATCCTTTTTGAAGCTGATTTGTCTTTATCCCCTCTGCGTCACTTGCACATGCTGTGCCTTCTGGTCTTTCACAAGCATGCGGAAGCCCGGAGCAACGATCTGTGACTGGTGGACAAAGATCTTCTCCTGACTTTCAATGAGCACAGGCTCATCCCGACGACTGAACCAAGCCTGATCTCCATCTAAGATGAAGCCGAAGCCCTTACCCTTGTCATAGTCCTGGCAATAGACAACAGGCCTGAGATTGCGCTCATCGGAAGCAGAAGCTGCAGAACCTATATAACCTATAAGCCTGCAGTTACTGTGGCCACTTCCGAGCTGATCCAGTGAAAAAATCCCTTCAGAAACGTCATGTCCAGACGGGGGAAGTGAAGAGTTGGTCTTCGACCACAAGGCACAAAAGCTAATCAACCCTGAAAAGCTGGCGGCGAGGGAAGAACATTTGCCAAACAAGCCAGCTAAGCAAGGACAGTTCCGATTTCTCGTCCACGAGCCTTCATGACAGATGCCCAAACCCTTACACTGCCTTTGATGAATGGTTTTTTGAGCCTGCTTCTGCTTTTCCACCACTTTGTCAACCGCAGCTGCTGCCTGCAACGCAGTTCACACTCTCATTCAGCACCTCTACCACGTGCAATTCCGGATGAAGTGTCATGCACATGTTGATGCCTCAAACTGGCGCTTCAAGGCGGGGTTCATGGCTCAGAAGGGCGTGTAGCTGCCCGTTTGCCAGGTTTGCAGCGGTTCACAACTTACATAACCTTACATAATCGAATAGCATGACTCCGGCAAAACCATTGACTAGGGCATGAATTCGCAGCATGTGAGTAGGTATGGATCTTTTGGTGACCTGAGCATTTCCAGATCTGTCAGTTTGCCGTGTTTGAAAGGTTTGTAGAGTTGGCAGTTGACCAATAGCCCGTCATGCTACGTAATCTCATGACCCCTATTGGCCATCAGCGGCAAGCATCTCAAACAGGGCAGTACAGGAGCACTGGTCATGGTCAGGTCGGGTTGCAGGACAAGGGCACACCATCGGCTGGAGACCCTTGCCAGATTCCTGGTGCTGCGCTCTCTGTGTATTTAGGAGCCATTGCTATGTGTGCACGCATGGACCGCCAGACTTGCCTTGACGTCACCCTCCCTCTGGTTCGCATGAACCTGCTGGATGTCGCTACCGCCGTATTCCGGGCGCACGCAGCTCCCATAGCCGGCCTCCGCCTTTGGATCCTCCTGGCTGGAAGAATGCCAGGAGCTCTTGTCATCCGAACTCACACTGAGTTGACCATGTGAGAATTCGAAGCTCCTTTGGCCGGTTCAACGGATCTGGAGGAGGTCTGACTGGTCCAATCTCGGCAGCGGGCAAGGGGACACCGGATCACCCTTGCATCTACCAGTGGATTTTATTGCTTACTGGTCATTGGCAGAATTGGATGCGTGGAACTTTTGGCCCCCTCGTGATGCTACTCTTCGTTCAGCTTCAAAGGCTGCCAGGAAGCCATGAGCACTAGGAGTCACAGCGTTCGCTTGGTTGAGTTGAAGCTGAAGCACACTAGTTGCTCCGCTTATGCCCGGAAAGGGCATGAAACCCTGTCTGTACAAGCCAAGTCAATGCTAGTGCATTCCGGCTTGATTGCAAAGCTCTAGCTTCAGGATGCCCTGTCCCTGCACTGCTCGCTGCCAGATCTCGGAATCAACAGCCCACTGCACAGCCACATTCTCGAAGTGAAAAAACTTAATCAAGTCATTTTTGTTCATGCTCGTTCATTAGGCATCCTTCTTGAATTCGCTTCAGGCGGCCGTCCTGAATTAAGTTCCGGGAGAGGAGCAAACCCATGCCCGGGTCCCGGTGTGCAGTAGAATCATGCTGGATTCGCACAAATGCATTGGGCAGCACAATTGACTTGCCCGACAGCGCCACATCATTGAAATACTGCCATCCCCAAGGTCGCACAGGTGTGCTGACGGCTGCACATCAGTCGCTGCTACTGTTCCTGCCAATGACATCTATGGGTAAAACTCTGAAACCATGACTCTCGTAATAACGCATCAAGAGGGCATCAAGTGGCCTGACTCCCCCAGCAAAGATCTCAAACACGCTCTCGCTCTCGGGTAGGCACGGAGAATCATATATCTTCCTGAGAACTCAAGTCCAAATTGTCGCCTGTCAACTACACCAGCATGCTGTGATTTGCGGTATCCTACCGTACACTCTTCAAACCAAGGGGCGCAATGCGCTGCTCAGCCCGTCCCTTGCGCAGCATGATGCGGGTGGTGGAGAAGTGCGCGAGGATGTGACCGCCGACAGGCTTTGGGTGGCTTGGCATGAAGGCGCAGCCGCCCCCTTTCAAAAGCCAGTTGGGATCCAGAAATGCAAATTTTCAAGATTACCCAGGAGCTGTCAGCCTGGGTCAGCCATGACTTGGTTTGTGAGAACGACGGCCACATTGAACTCCTGAAGCGTCACTCACACTTATTGCCCAGGGTCACCACAGAAATCAGTATGCTCCTCGCTCACCTTCTGCAGCTTGCTCATCACTCCTTAGGCAACCAACGCTCCATCGCTCATGAGGCTAATTTCGCGCGTAGCAAATAGTAAAAGGCATTGCTGTCGTGATTCGAGCAAGTTTTTGCTGTCGATCTGCCAGCTCACCTGCTACATACATGCGTTGGAGAACGATTCATTCACACGCAAGACACGCACGTGCCATGCCAACTGACAATTGGCACCTCTGCCAGAGTAGTCCACTCGAAAGCCGCCCATAATCGAATCCACGATCAGGAGTGCAAAGCCTTGCAGGCTGAAGCAAAGCCAGAATCAGAAAGAACATGACAGACCCACTATCAGAGGGGTAACGGTCTTCGTCGTTGACCATGAGGCTGGCCGCTTCCAGCAGCAACCCTTCAAGGTGGTCCGAGGTATAACATCTTGCATACACGATGTTGTCCATCGCGATCTAACAGAAGCACAGGGTGGGTCATCAAAAAATGAAAGGTAGACTGAAGCAAATGCCACACTGCCCTGCCTCAGCAGAAACGCCCTTGCCTTCAGCAATCTGACGAATCCGTTCGGGTCGAAATGTGCCTTCAGTGTCGATGTACACAACCTGAGAGTCACCATAAAACTGACCTGCAATACTCCTGCGATGCACTCCAGAACTTGAGGCACTTCAAAACGGCTAAGCTAAGGTTTTTGCCTTTCCGTTTGCCCCGCCCATGTTTGGAGGCAGCTGGGCCATCACCGCGAGTGAATGACAGACTTGTGTCTTTCCGCACCTGCAGAAGTACACCCAGGTCGACAATGGCACCCCTCGGGCAGCAAAGGTCAGCCATTGATAGATACAAATGGTCGACGGCTTGCGATGCCATGATTTGTTGCAATATCACTGGGCAAAATTTGCGCCTGAACTCCCCGAAAAGCTCTGTGATGGAGCAGCTTTCCATTCCACCCCCCAACCTGAAAGCGCAGCTGCTTGGCCAACACACTTGCCAAACATGCGAGAATGCGTCGGGCTTTCAGATCTGCAGGCCGGATGCATTTGGTCAAGCTTTGCTGCTCCGGTAGAGATCTGGAAGCGATTTTTCATCTTATGGAGGAGCTGCTTGCAAGTCACAAAGCCAGCCTGGCGCCGCACAGCGGAAAGATCTCTGAATGCAAAAGCCAACCGTGCCCTCAACACAGTCACTCCCTCCAGCGGCAAATAGCCTCACTTGACTTGCGTGCCGCCTCAATGATCTTGTCAACCTTCCAGAGTACTGCTGCGCGACTATGCAACTGTGCATGGGACCAGTTGCCCGGTAGCCTTCTGGTCAGAGAGGCCTTTGATGTTAAGCAGGTCCTTCCGCATCGCGAAAACAACTGACCTGAACGCGATACAAGAACGGTCTCAACAGCAGACTTCTCCAAAAGAGAGTGCCGGACTGGCTTGTGTTGTAGCCAGCCTTAGCAGATATGCGAATCTGAACGCGAAGGTGTGCCTCCAAAGCCTTTGCGTTCCACGCTTTTGGAACAGCTGCCTGCCCTGCACGAACTGGGGCACCGGCATCTTTCAATTTCTTCAGGTCAGCAGCGTTGATTCCAGCATCCTTGTCTGACTATCACATTGCAGGGCCCGTGCGCTGCAGTTGAAAACCTGAAGCTTGTCGATGAGACTGTAGGGCAACTCTTCTTCTTGGTACACGTCCTCCTGTCAAGATTTGCGGTGCGGTTTGCTTTGACGCACCAAACTGAGGCGTTACGTGCCTCACAATGGTTTCCCTAAGCTGCCCACAATCACCAACAGGCCACGACAGGTGGTGTGCGTGCGTGGGCGTTGCGAGCTACATGCCGGACCATTGCGAAAACTTCACTGGCACAAGATCGCGAGGGTAGACATGCAATCAATCAAACAAAGAACTTGCATTGCATGATTCATCACAACTCTGCGCCTCCACTTCTGCCTGCTTCCTTTTTGCCTGACCCGCTTCTGCCATGACCTCACATAGTACAAAAGCTCCGGAATGATCTGGGATCTGAAGACCGGCTCCATGATATGAGGAATCGGCGACGTGCTCTAAGCAGATCAGGATCAGAGAGATTGGATAGCCGCACTTGAGCCAAACTGCGCAAGTCATCCGGTATCCTCTTTGTAGTACTATGTAGCCAGCTCCGTCTGGCGAAGAGAACTACCTGGAAACTGCTGCTGGCTTGGCTTCCGACCAGCACTGCTGGTGCCTTCATGTGAAGCTTTCAGCACCCATGGTCACTGCAAGGATGTCGGAGGCCTTGGGCATCGATCCTGAGGGCGGACCGGGGGCTTTGGCGCCCGCCTTGGCCGTCGTACCTCGCATGCGTCGCATGTGGCATGATGAAAGGCAAAATGATTCCGGCAACACTGCCTGCTGTGCATGGAGCCATCTCCTCCAAGCCAGGCGGCGGCGCCGTAATTTGGGCCTGAAAGGGCAAAGCCTGAAGCAATACCCTAGCAATACGCTACTGGACATGAATCAGCTCGTCAGCCTTCACTGGAGCCGGAGGAGGCGGCGGGGGGCTCGGTGGAGGGGGGACCTGATTTCCAGCCTCTGCCGGGGCACCTGCGGCCAGAAACAAGGAACAGCTAGGCCTTCCAATAGTAATAACGCTTACACCACAAGCCCTGGCACCTGGTGGTGGAGGTGGCCTGGCTGACGGCTGCTTTGGCGGTGCCTGCGCAACTCTGACTGACGTGGGACTACAATGCACTGCAGCTTGGACTAGTGCTTCGTCTGCACCTGGCACGGGTTTTGTGGCGCCAGCATTGCCTGGGCTTGCGCCTGGGCCAGCTGCGTCAGCTGCATTTGCTGGATCTGCGCCTGCTGCAGCTGCTGCATCAGTGCCTGCGCACAAGCGTGGGGAATGATATGCGGTTGTTTGCCGCCTAGCCTGACCGTTGACAGGGGCACACTCTCAACGCTCTCATCAAGTCGGCAACGCCTGCTGTTGCATCTGGTGGAGTTGGGCTTCTTGCATCTGCTGCATTTGCATGTAAGCTAGCTGCTCTTGCTGTTGCTGTGCTTGTTGCTGCTGCTGTTGCTGCTGAGCTTGCTGCTGAGCTTGCTGCTGAGCTTGCTGCTGAGCTTGCTGCTGAGCTTGCTGCTGTTGTTGCTGCTGCTGCTGCTGCAACTGCTGAGCTTGCTGCTGCTGCTGCTGCTGCTGCTGCTGCTGCTGCAATTGCTGAGCTTGTTGCTGCTGTTGCTGAGCGTGTTGCTGAGCATGTTGCTGAGCATGTTGCTGAGCATGTGGCTGTTTGTGTTGCGCTTGCTGCGCTTGCTGTGGCTGTGGTGGTGGTGGGGGAGGCGGCGCCGGCTGCTGTTGCTGCTGCTGCTGGGACTGCTGTTGATGCTGTTGCGGCTGCTGTGGCTGCTGCTGATGCTGTTGCTGCTGCTGTGGCTGCTGGGCCTGTTGTGTGCCTTGCTGCTGAGGCTGTTGCTGTCCTTGCTGAGCGGCTTGATAGGACTGGTGCTGTGCGCTCTGCAGCAGCTCTTGATGCCTGTGGCCGCCCTGCACAATTTCCTGGCCAGCGGCTTGCTGCCTAGGCGCTGTGCTCACATGGCTGAGCAAAGTAAACGTGGCTCTTTCAGTAGCCAGGTGGCTCCAAGACCAAACGTTGTTGCTGCAATTGTTGAAGCTCGGACTGCAACCTTGGCTTTGCAACGGCCACTCTTGTGTAAAAGCTGACCACTCTGTGAAAATGGCATGACAGCACAACACTTGTTGGATTGCGGTGAGATGCTGAGATAGGAGATTTCGTTCATTCGCTGGCATAGTCATCAGGTCCTGCCCAGGTTTATAGCGTTAGCTGAGCGTTGGCATGCAAACTCGTACAATCAAGCGAGCCTGGTTTTTGAAGTGTTCAAGCATGTTTTGACGAAGTTGAATCTCCTGGTGGCATAGAAGAGAGCTAGCATGAGCTAGCCACTACTCAGTAGAACAACACGTCAAATCCAGCGCAGTCCTGCATCACTCTTTGCAAGCTGTTTTGCAGTTCCTGCGTTGTGCTTACGCCTACGCCCTCAAGGGATCAAATGACCTGTCAAACGATGTTGGCAACACCTGCGTCCAGAAAAGCAAACCCGAATCTTCCTGGAGCTTATCTAATACCTGCTGCCCTACAAGCGTACACCTTTTACAACTGTGCAGGCAAATGACAACATCCATGCACCGCAACCCAGTGCAGAGCAATGCCTGAATGACAGCCAACAGCTAGCACAGATCTGAAGGCCTGCTTTTGTTGCACCTGCTTCATCCTTGCAGCGTCTACAGCAAAAACCAGAGATTCGTGCACTGAGCTGGATGTTCTAGACCTATGTACCGTAGGCCTAGCAGGAGGGATGCAAAGCGTATTGAGAGATGCTGGAAATCAACATTCACGAGGGTTTGGCAGCATAATTAAATAGATGAACGCCATTGCAACTGCTGCACTACGTCCAAACATGGTGTTGGATTCAGAGATCACATCTGCATCCATGTGCAGCACTCGAAACCCCGGCGCACGTTGCCTTTTGTACGGGGCGCTTGCTGTGCTTCGTATTGACTGAGGCTATGTGCCGTGGAGTTGGTTTAAGTCTGAACGTCAATGTCCATCCTTCGTAAACCTGTGGTGTTCGGGAAACCGAGATTGCAAAATCTTCTATTGGCTTGGTGGGTAGATGGCCCCTCCCTGTAGCTGGTCCCCACCATGTGCACCCGCAGGCAACTGTGAAATGAGCGCCTTGCCAGGAATTCAGCAAAACAAGTTCACAGCAGGTCGGAACTACAATGTTTGTTTCTTTTGCTCTACACTCCAGATTGCTGAGTTTGAGTCCGAAAAGCCAGCAAAAACAGCCGTGCATGCAGGTAAGCCAACCAGGACTACGGGCCGAGAAAAATGTCACTAGCCCTCCGGAAGGGCGCATCTCTGCACTTTGCATCCAGGTCTCTGCTCCTCAATGAATGCTCTCTGTTGCTCAGGGTTGAGGGCGACCTGCCGCAGACCCAAACGAGGTTCTCATATTCAAGGATTTCAACGCAGCAACCTACTTCGCAAAAACAATTACGAAACGTCTTTGTCGCACATGCCATCCGAACACCAGAAGAAATCAATGTCGCCGCGCTTACATGCTTTGTCGCGCACATGCTCAGTAAGGCCATAGATTCTTGGCTCCAAATGGTGTGCGTGTTGTTTGTGTCAGGCACTTTTCCTGAATGATGAGTCTGTTGCTCGCGGGTCCAGTTGGCTGCTCCTGCCTCATTTTCGAACAGCTTTTCTCTTCAGAGAGCAAGCACCAGAAGAAAGCAAGCACAAACTGCGGGTTGTGGTGTAAATATCAAGGCTGAAGGCAAGTTTGACCAAAGCAACAAAAGTGCAGGCCATCGAAAGCGCCTTGGGCTTGGGAATCTTGGGCGCTGCCTTGGCACAATTCAAGTTGAAATCATTGCGCCTAGCTTGTGCACATCAGCATGCCCCTGAAACCCTGCAAGAAAATCTGAACCACAGGCCCTCTCAGGACGTGGCCTGGGCCGCCTGCGACGGTAGAGAAGCAGATGACCCGCTGGGCTGGGCATTCTTGGCGCGTCTGCGAAGGAACGGCACTCAAGATCCGGTGGTCGGAAATGAATACTCTAGAGGCAGCGAATTGCAGCGACATGCAACGCCAAATGAATTGCTTTCTGGCCGGCCGTATACTGTACTGTCGGTGCAGTGCGGCTCAGTATAGAGCAGTAATTGGCATCAAAGACTTCCTGACTCTGCCACCACACAGCTTACAATTGGTTCGGGGGCTTGTCATGCACGTGTATGCAGTCTTCATGTCCCTCTCTCATCAGGCAGCAATGCCGACTTGACGGAAGCAGTCATCAACGTGACTTGAATCCGTACCTAGGCATTTCAGCAGTCAAGTACATGGGACTGCTGCATGAAACTTGGGTGCAGGCTTTTTCCGTTCGTAGAACAGATCTGTCCGTGCAGTACCAAGGTTGACAATCTTCGGACACCCATCACGATCCTGCCCAGTGGGCGTGAAGTCAAGGCAACCCAACACATGGACAGCCCCAGGCTATCATGCCGAGAAAACTGCCAAATTGCCTTCTCGCATTGGCAGCACTCCTGCACATCTTGTGTTGTTTCATGTGTACTTCCATAAGCGCCTTTCGTGGACAAAGCATCCAGCAGACCACAATAATGGTGGATGAGTGATCTGGATTACTGCAGATTCAGTGTATAGCATCCGGATGTAAGGTGGCAGCATAGCTTGCGATGTTCTCCAGACAAGAGCTGCAAGCAATCTATGCAAATGCAGCCACACAAACGGATGATTTTGAAAGAGCGACGCAGAGGAGCCATGCTAAAGATGAAGTCCAATCTCACATACCATGCCCCCGTTGCACCCGATCCAGGAACACACTGGGTTTGCATAACGAGTTGATAGCTTCTGTTTTGCGGCAAGAGCACATACTTGAACAACGTGCCTTGCAGTAGAAAGCATCGGAGATGCCGGCACCGCCACAAATAACGCAGCGACCCTGGTAACTGCCTGCATCAATGCGAGCTGCAATTTATTTGCGAATCTTGCGATTTGAGCAGAACCCAAGCACATCCAAATGCGAAACGTCGGGGTAGCACCGTAGTTGCACTCGTCGCAAACTCGAGCCAGCTGGCTGGGCCTCACCTGAGACACGCTTTGATGTTTTGTCATCTGAACAGCTTCGCACAGCTTCGCATGTCAGCTGGGCCAGGCACATATGAGTCACAAATCACGCATTTACCATCACATTTCTCACAAAGGCGGCCTGAATTGCTCAGCACTCCATGCTATGCAATTGAACAGAGTCCAAGCATTCACGGAACAGCACAGGTCAGCCCTGCACCAATGGCAATGCCGCATTGCTTTCGACACATGATGAGGTCAGGATGATGCTTCGCCATTCCTTGGTGTACCATCGACCATCATGACGTCATGAGTATGGCTGGCCTGCAGACCTCCAGCATGACTACAGCTCAAGCCAATTCGCCGCTTTAAGACATACGGCCAAGTTTCTTGTGTTGGAGGCCCTTCCTGCGCAGAACCCTGCGAGACGCTCTCCCAAAACTTCCTGACTACGACGCGAAAGCTTGAGCCACATGAACGTTGGGCAGACAAATTCTCCTTGCGCAGCTAAGTGTTCAGATGCCGCTAATCCAGAAACAGCCGTGCAGGGTGGAGGCCGGACCCTGCCGCTGCAGCCACTTCCCGCGCCTGCCGCATAATATGAGGTAATACAACGGCACACCTTCGTGCCAGGTGAAAAGCCAACAAGGCCTTGTTGACTCCCTCCAGGAATTTCTGAAAGTATGCAGTCAATGTGACCTGAAGTCAACTTTGGCAGAGAGCTTTGCCAGGCTGCATTCCGTACCACAGCATGCACCTCGTCAAGATCCTCCCTGCTGCCCTTCCAAAGGAGCAGGAAGGCTGCAGGATCTTGATCTGAAGCCTCCCATCGCTCTACCTGCAGTACTGCCAAGAGCGACCGCGTGCTGTTGTTGGACCCGCAGCTGTGGTGTTTTACGAGGTGTGCGCACGGAGGATGGTGCCTTGACTCCGTGGATGGAGTCCTCTTTCTGCTCGATGATGCCTCTTGCAGCAGATGCCTAAGCAGGTCGCTAAGTTCTCCAGGCTTGAACGGAAATTGACTGAACGAAGGAGGAGCCTCGTTCAGCGTGATGATGGCCAGGGGGAGGCTTTTGTGCCGCTCTACTTTCAATAGTTCCACCTTCAGCGGCATTGCAGTTGTGTGACAACAGAGCATGACGAAACATCAAAGAACGATCCTTCCGCACCTTGGTGTCCGGAACGGTTGTCAGCCTGAGGCTGCATGTCTCACGTGCCACGCACTGCTTCTGCTGAAGATGCTTTGCTGTGAAATCCAGCAAGGATTACCAACAATTTTATCAAATTGCATTGCCGCGTGGCGATGACACGGGCTGCCCAGAGATGGCTGGTGCCTGAGGGCCGTTCTGTTGTGCAACACTGGAAAATCTTGCAACGCCAGGACCGGGCCCGAGATGCTCTTCCCCGCCCCTCTTCCCCCTTCCCCCACCCTGGTCAGAAGCGGCTAGAAACCTTCGGCATGGCCGAGCAGACCCGATTGCAGACACTGGTCCTTCGCCACAATACCAACTAATCTGAGGCCGCCCATCGTTCCGACGATGTCCGACGATGATGTTTCTTGTTGCAACATGTTGAAAAAGATTGGCCCAATGTGACTGATGACCCTCCCCTGTCGGGGGAGGCAGTCCAGCGACATGATGTTTTCAAGACTGCCTCCGTTCCTGGTTTATGCACGGCACTGGAAACATGTGCTAAGTGAAATACTTTAAAACAAGCAAGTTTCCTGCAAGCTCCCTGTGCAAGCCCGGCAGCCGTGGCGGACGCGTGCTGGCGCTGACAACCACAACTATAATCCAACAGTACCAGCAAAAACAGCTTGTGAATTTAATGAGCCGAGTCGCAGTGATCTTTCGCGAATCACCCTCCTGTTTGCCACCCGCCTCCTGCTTGACCGGAGCCGCTGACTCCAAACTCATCCTGTCCGAACTGGAAGCCTGCGATTTTGGAAGGCTCCCCAGGCTTGCGGCCGATGTCTCATGGTTCACATCAGCCGCACTCTCCTCCTTCCGAACATTGTCCCGCTTCACATCCGCTGCTGAATTGTCCAATTCGGAAGGAGCTTTTGACAAACTGTCCTGCTTCACAGTCAGATCAGCCGCCGCCATTTGGTGCGGTCTTGTAGGAGCCTTCTGCGAATTGTCCTGCTTTACGTCTGTGGCTGCTACTTGCCCCACTTTTGTGGGAGCCTTCTGCAAAATGTCTTGCTTTACGTCATCTGAGGCTACTTGCACTCTTTCCATACTGTCTTGCTTGGCATCAGGCTTCGATACTTGCTCTGGTCTTGTAGGAGCTTTCTGCGAGCTGTCTTGTTTCACATCAGCTGATGCTGACTGGTCCAGTCTTGGCGATCTGTCTTGCTTCTTCACATCAGCCACCGCTACTTGCTCCGGTCTTGCGAAAGGCTTCTCTGAATTGTCTTGCTTCATGTCAGCCGATGCTTGGCCAGCAAGGTGGGTAGAAATCGACGTTTTTTGCAAATGATCCTGTTTGTCTGCAGGCGTGCCCTGGACTTCCAAGCCCACTGGTTGTGAAGAAGTCCGCCTGTCAGCCTGCTTTTTCTCCGGGTCTTCGCTTGCGGGGGTCTGCAACCTTTGCAAACCATTTTGACCGAACATGTCGTCACCTGTGCTGGCAGAAGTCTGCTCGCTGGAAGGATGCAGCCTTGCGCCCGGTGTTTCGTCGTCCGACGTTTGCATCCTCCGCGAAACATCAGGCTTCACCAAAGCTTGCTCACCAACCATAACCGTTGTAAGCCCGCTCGTCCTCTGTGCAGCTTCTGGGGTCGTTCGCTCAGCGGGCACTTTTGCAGCAGTCTCTGTTCCCAGCATTGCCTTCTGCTGCAGAACAAGCAAGCCCTCCTTTCCCACGTCAGGGGTCTTTTGCGAAACATCCTGTTCGGTACTGGCTCTGCCCTCACTGCCCATGTTGGCAGACATACTCGATCTTGCCAGAACCTCTGGCTTCAGATCAGCTGAGTCCCTATCGCTTGTTTCCGCCTTGGTGGACGTGTTCGCCTTCTGCGAGACATCTTGTTGAACACCAAGCACGTGTTCGCTGTCCAAGTTAGAGTGGTCCTTAGACCATGCACGGGAGAGAAGGATCCGTCTAATCATCTAATCGCTTGGGAGACAACATACTCTGCCCGTGTCTTTTCATGTCGAGACAGGGCAGCTCCATCTTCCTCTTAAACCTGAACATACCTGAACCATCCTAAATGGGAACCATCGTTCCGCTGAGGGGCCCTTGTGCGAAGCTCTAGTCGGGCAGCAATTCTCCTTGCCTCTTCCAGAGCTGCCAGCGATGTCAACGCCATCGCAACCTGCTCTGACAGCTCTCCGCAGAACAAACATTTTGACATGCATACGAACGCAAGCTACACATGCCGCGAGTTTGACGGACGGAGACAGTGTGCTTCCAGTCTTCCTACAGCTTTAGGTAGCGTGCAGCTCTGGCGTTGCAGCCTCCTCTAAGCCTTTGCCCTTCACATCGAGCCCTGAACTCGTCGGCTGCGTTGCTGCGGAAGAACTCCCCGAAGCTTTGCTGGCGCTGGTCTCCGCAACAGCAGCCTGAGGCAGTGAGTCTGTCTCGCAGGGAAGGTTCTTATACAGGTGCAAAAGGAGGTACTTTCCACATAGCAGCCGTTCCGGAATAACGCATCTGTGGTACTTTGCGGGGACAGCCTGCCTGGCTCATCTTCTCGGACTTTTCCTGGTCGTTCATGCCGGCCTCTCTCTCCTTTCTAGGCAAAGGCTCTTTGTCAGCCTCTTTGCTTCTGGCGGCATCACGCGCTTTGTCTGAGCTATCGCGCTTGGGGCGTCGAGGGCTTGGGCTCTGCCTTTCTCGCGATCGATTGCCTCGCTTGCTTCGATTGCTTCTGGATCTTCTTCGCAGAGGCTTCCTGCTGCCAGATCCCTTTCGCGACTTCCTGCTTCGAGATCTTCGGTTTGCGGACCTCAGCTTGGGTGATCGCCGATGAACCCGGGGTGTGCTGCTCCGCGATCTTCTACTTCTGCCTTGCTTTCTGGATCTGCTCTCAGGCGAGTTCCGCCTCCTGTCCATGGCATCACGTGTCTCTCGCTTGGTCCTGTCCTTCTTGTCCACCTTGCTTTGCGTTGTTTCCCACCACCTGCCTTCACCACCAGCCTGTGTCGAATCACCTCTTCTGGTCTCTATGGGTGAAGCATCGCGTCGTGGCGATCGCTTCATGCTCCTTGGCCTTCTCTTGCGATCCTCATTGCTTCTTTCCTCACTTTTGCCCCTGCCTACCTGGTGAACCTGGTGAGCCTGGCCAGCCTGGCCAGCTTTGCGTCGCGGTAGCGGGCGCCGCGCGCTGGGCTGTCGCCCCCGACTGTTGGATGATGGCCGAGCACGGCCTTCATCTCTTGTCTGCACGGCCGCACGCCTGTCTACTGCTTGCTCTGTGGAGCTGCCACGGTGTTTCTTGTTCTTTTTCTTCTTGTGCTTCTTCTCTTTTTTCCTATGACCACTTCCTGATGAAACACCGCGCCTGACATCCTTCTTTGGGACAAGCTTGATGGTTGTCGCAGGACCTGACTTCTCAGATTCTTCTGAGACGTCGGGGCTCGGATCAGGCTTGCCCAATTTGCTGACATCCTGCTCTTCGTCATCCTCTTCCTGCAGCTCGCCATCTTCGCGCTCCTCTGGCTCATCTGGCCGCTCGGGTTTTGCATGCTGCTCCTCATCCTGCTCCTCATCCTCCTGCTCCTCCTCTACTTCCTCCTGAGCAACGCTCTCATCCTCAACAGCCTCCTGCTCATCACTTTCCTCCTCTTCCCCTTCCTGCTCGCCCTTGGCCTCATCATCTTCTGAGTCATCTCCGCTTTCGGACTCTTCCCCTTCTTCCTTCTCCTTGTCCGGATCCTCCTCATCTTCCTTTGCACATTCCTCTTCTCCTTTCTCTCCCTTCTCCTGCACCTCCTCCTGCACCTCTGCCGGCACCTCCGCCGGCTGCCCACACGGACCTCGATCATCTTTGTTCTCTTCCTTGTCGGCATCTCCCAAGTCTTCGTGATTCTTCTCCTGCTGTGGTCAGAGCTCAAAGATCAATCCTTGCTTAGAAGATCGGAGAATGGAAAAGACCTAAAGCCATGGAGAGTCCTCCGACTCCTCATCAGCAAAAGCTGCAGACTGCAGGGGCCTCAGCGGCTGTCACAGGCTTCGCCATGGCACTCGCACAATTGCAAATCTGAAGTCAGAGTGCTCATCCGGCAGTTCTGGCACTGCAGGCACCAGCACAGGAAGCTCTAAGCTGGTGTCA